TTTTTTCAAATAAAAACACCTTTCTTGTTAACTTCCATCACCTACATAAGTAAATCTTCTTTGATGAATTAAGAAAATCATTCAATTTTACTCTGACATAACATCTTTGAATCAGGAAATTATTTTATTGTAAAAACGAAAAAGATGAATGAAAACGAACTTAAATATACAATGACAGTTTCTAAAATACTTAAGACTATTCACTTGACAAAAGGATGGGATTATTATAGGAATTACATTGGATTCTTTATTATAGGAACAATAAACAATATTAACTTTGTTGTTGTCAATTCAGCAGCAAGTAGTTTATGTTCATTTTTTAAAGCAGACAAATGGAATCCATTGATATTATGGTGTAATGTATTTGCAGGGTTAATCCTAAGAATATTGAACATATTATTTTTATATAAAATACCTATTAAAATTCGATTATTATTTTCTACAATTTTTAACTTAGTTGGATTGTTTGGAATGGTTTTATGTATTTTACTTCAAGAATATACTCAAACCACTTCATTTATATTTTTTGGACTATGTCTCTTTATGATTCTGATTATTGGAGGAGTTCAATCATTTGCAGAATCTGTCATCTTATCATACTCTGGCAGATTTCCACCTGAAATGGTTAATGGATGGTCAAGTGGAACAGGGTTTGCTGGAGTAGCTGGAAGCGGATTATATTTATTTTTTACTGGACTAAACATCCCAAATACTATTAGTTTTACTTGTTTAACACCTTTCTGTGTTATTTATGCAATTGTCTTCTTCTTTATGATTAAACCAGAAGTTAGTAGAAATGAAGAACAACAAATATTGATAAATGATACTAACAATGATAGAAAGCAAGAAAAAGAGCATAATGAATATGATAGTATTAAAGAAGAATTAAAGAATGAGTTAGATTTGATGATTGATGAACAAAAAGAAGAAGGAACATTCTTAGAGAAGTTAAAAAGTGGAATTAAAATGACATGGTGGTTAGGAACCAATCTCACATTGATTTATTTTTTTGAATATGTTATTAACCCTGGTGCTATCTATGTTGCATTTAACAAAGAAAAATCAGAAGAAAGTAACAACTTTTTCATTAAAAATTTTTATGAAGTTCTTGCATTTTGTTATCAATTAGGAGTTTTTATCTCTAGAAGTTCATTACCATTATTCAAAATTAAACCAGTTTGGATATTGACAATAATCCAATGTGTGTTATGCATTTTTATGTCAATTCAAGGCAATTTACATTTTATGTACAATGAATGGGGTATTTGGTTAATGATAGTCATCATGTTAGTTGTTGGATTGGTTGGTGGAAGTGGTTATGTTCAAGTAATGTACTGGATTTTAACTAAACAAATGAAAAAAGAACAACGAGAATTGGGAATTAGTTTTGTTACAATATTAAACACTTTAGCAGTATTAGCCTCTTCATTATTGTCATTGTTATTGAATGAAACATTGTGGAAAAGTAATTTTGATTATTAGTTGATTTATTCCTTTCTTTTTGTTGATGAATGTTACTCAATAATAAAAGTGCTTGAATAAAAAAATGAAAATCTAAAAAAAAATAAAATGGCATTGTATTGTCCTTGGGAACACATTACGTGTAACTCTTGTAATAAAGTCATTACTACAATGACAAGAATAACATGTGTTGAATGTGATAATTTTGATTTATGTTTAGAATGTTTTTCACAAGGAAAAGAAATCGGAAAACATAAGAATAATCATAGTTATCGAGTAATACCATCATTACATTTTCCATTGTTATCAAGTGATTGGGGAGCTGATGAAGAGTTAATGTTATTAGAAGCTATTGAACAAAAAGGACTTGATAATTGGCCTGAAGTTGAGAATTTTGTTAAAACTAAAACAGCTAAAGAGTGTAGAAGTCATTATTATGACTATTATTTAAATTCTAAAACACATCCTCTTCCAGACCTTGAAGAAAGTTTCTTAAAGAAGAATGGAATAGTTGACATGAAACCATCTCGAATTGTTCATTTTAAAGACGATGAATTTGACTCTCGACCTCAGAAAGAAACAGGATGTACACAACCTACATATGAAGGATATGATGCATCATTTAATCCATATCGAAGAGAATTTGCATTTGAATATTTTAATAATGCAGAATTATCAATTTGTAATATAGCTTTTACTGATAAAGATACTCCTGAAGAACGAGAAATGAAATTTCATAAATTAGAAGAATATTATAAAATGTATTGTGAAAGAGTTAGAATTAGAAACATTGTTATTAATCAAGAACTTGTTGATCCAAAGAAACTCAGAATAGCTGATAGAAAAAGAAGTAAAGAAGAAAAAGAACTTCATGATTTAAATTGTCAATTTCTTGTTGCATTAGGAAAAGAAGATTTTGAGAAGTATATTAAAGCGTTAGTAGGTTTGTTTATTTCATTATTTATTCATTATAAAATTACAAATCATTAATATTAATCTCAATTTGTAGAAGAAAGTAAATTGAAAACTAAAATACGAAATTTAAAACAAAAAAGAAGAGATGGTTGTTTAACATTACAAGAATCAAAAAGTAGAAGAGTTTGTTATATTTATTAGGTAATATTTCCTTTAATATATAAAATTATTCATATCTAGAAAATTAATACTTATAATTATACGTCTGAATTAAAACAAGTTTCTTATACAAAACCAAGTAAACATCCTCATTAATTCATTGTCAATTTCTCTTATATTCTTTTGTTGTTTTCTTCTTCTTGTTTATTCTTTTTATTTTAATTCAACTTTTATTTTATTAATTGCTTAACTTCTCTAATGACGTAAATGGTGGAGTTGGAAGAAATCCTAGCCAAAGTGGTTTTGATGGAGAAACTTGCATCACTTCTTTCCAATTTAAAAGAATTGATTTGTAATATTTGTTCTTGATAAATCTACGTTCTCGAATCATTTGACCAAAATCATCAACAACTTCTTTCATAGTGTAATTGAATGTAATTGTAAACATCACCGCTATAACATTCATTGTTAAAGCAAATGTCATGTTACCGAAGAATAATACTAAAAGTACTATAAACACATAATAGAAATGTGACTATTATTTAAGTTTTGATTATTTTGTATTTTCTCATGATAAAAACAATGTTATTGAAGTGGTAGATGGAAAAAAGAATAACAAACACTACCAACATATACAACTATCATGTACAAATGAACATCTGCTAATAATAATGCAACCCATAGATAGAATTGGAATAAAAAGAAATATCTATAGTTATGATACCCCAAACTATTTCCTACCATTGCACAATAATGATCATATCTATAAATGCATTGGTTTGTAACATTACAATGGTGAACTCTATCCGCCTTATATCTCTTACAAATATCACAGTATTGATCCTCTTCTTTTTTTTCTTCATCAACTTGATAATATTGTTTAGGAATACATTCTGCAGTCACGTAATGGCACTGGTAATAATTATATGTGATTAAGTACACCAATCCCTGCGCTATAATAAACCAAAATATGACTGTAACTAGAGAATACAAAAACGGTAATACAAAAATAATTAGTGCATTGACTGCTAAATAACATATCCCAATCAGACAAAATACTACTTTCACTGGAAGTTTTTTTAACCCTTCCTGACTAACATCCAGACAACAAAATGGTTTTGACTTATTGCTTATATCCATTAAATTATTAAGTTCTTAACTACTTAAATTAGAAAATACAAAAAAGTGTTTAGTATGAATATTATGACTATTCTCAGTCTTGTTTGTTATCTAAATAACCTTCATGCCTCTTTTCTTTTTATTAGACATTACTTTTCATTTGTAACTGTTTTTGTTAATGATGTGATATTCTTTTTAGTGGTTTTATTAGTTTCTTGTCTTATGACTATTCCATCTTTCAGTTTAACTTGATGTGTTATTTCAATGCATTGCATGGCATGCACTCTTCAAGATTTATTTCATTTGAATTTGTATGAACATTTCTGTTGAGTAGAATTATTTGAAGTATTGAATGAAATTTTGAAGAAGTAATTTAATGTTAGAAATATTTCACAAACCAAGGAAATTTCATTAAATAAACAAACAGTGGATAAAATCATAAACAAGTTGAAAAATATATGACGTTGTGTTTTAAACCAACTAAACACTTAAACCAAGTACAAAAAATAATCAACTTAAAATTGTCTTTTATTCATGTTACTGCTTGCTCATGTCATTTGAGCATAATTAACTGTATCCTTGTAGTAATGAAGAAACAGAAAATCTATTTGAACACAAATATGTTATTTACTTCTGTGTTTGTAATGCCAGTCATTTCCAGTAGTTGAAAATAGTTTAATTGTTCGTTAACTCTTCTTTCTATTAACTTAAATTATATTGCATTAACTTAGTCTTTTAAAAAGAAGTTGATTAGTAATATCATGTATATTTGATTATAACACTCTTTGGGTAGTTTCAATGTTTTTCGAAGCCTGTTTAAAACTGAATGTATTTAACTATTCTTTATCCAACATTATTTCTAATATTTTTTAAAAATCTGTTTTTGTTTTGTGAATTAATA